AGCCTGTGTATTTATGTTACTCAGCAAAAATAAACGACTAACATTATTTACCATATTCAGGGTCGCGGTAGCCCTGGTGTTTCTGAAGATACTGTGCGAATAGAAACATCGGAAGAGAATAGATTCGAACCTCTGGCTGAGAAAGTTCGAACGGCAATAGATTCTGCAGAATCAATTGCCTTTGCAGAACCTACTAATTTACAACAACTGCAAGAAGCGAAACGTATACTGCTGTCACAAGAGCCAACCCTATCTACTCTCTCTGATATCGCGGAGGAAAAAGCGAAATCAGGAAATGTTGATTATGTCGATAGCATATCGTCTTTGATGGAACAGTACAATTCTGTTAAATATGGAATAGAAGACCAGTTGGATCAATTGCGACCAGAGGTTCGTTTCATACATTGCTTTGACGCTTTTTGAACACTTGTGTCTTTAATATCCTAATTTGCAGGGACCCAAGGAACCTCAGTTATACGAAGAAGAGCAAGCTACTACCGAAATTCCTATGGAAGAAGACAAATTCAGAGCGCTTGTCGAGGAAGTTCGACATGCCATTGACACCGCCGAATCTATCGCCTTTGCCGAAAACATTGATCCTCAGCAGTTACGGGATGCAAAACGGGTACTCAGCTCTCAAGAACCAAGTCTTTCAACACTCACTACCATTGCTGAGGAAAAAGCAAAATCAGGAGATGCCGATTACATGGATATCATAGCTCCATTGATGGAACAGTTCACCTCTGTCAGTTATGGTATAAATGATCAACTGGACGAGTCCGGACTACAGGTTCGGTAGCAACTATTTCTACAATTCCTTACTCAATTTCTTTGCGATCTGCTAAACAGTTTTTGGTGTGCTACTTCTCCGTTAGCCGGACCCATTTTTTTAAGGGGATATTGTTTTTTCCCTCTAACAAACTTGATCATAACTTCAAGGAAGGAGTGCCAACCTCTCACCATTCGTCAAAAAACATGTCACGTCATAAATATGCTTATAAGGGTTTACAAAGA